GAGATCAGTGGGACTTAAGTGTGATTTCCCTTGTTTAGATTGTACTAATTTATTGCAGAAAGAGAATTTGGCTTAATACACTTGAAAGTTACCTCTCCAAATTATCTGCAAGGTCCTGAAGGCCCTGTGCATATTTCATGGCTTTTTCAACCAAATCTTCATCAAACCTTGACTGGTTGGCCTGTTTGTCCTGTAGCTGTACTTTAGCTCCATCTATTTCTGCGTAAAGCCTGGATGCATTCTGACCAAACAAAAAGAGTAAAGAAAAAGTAGCAATGATTTTTCTATAAACTGCAAAATGTCTTTCCAAATTAGGTAGATAGTGGTAAGGTGATAAACGGATTCTCATTGAGATGATGGAGTGTATCCTTTCAAACTGGGGATCATTTAACTGAGCATTTTTCTACAGTGAAAAACTTAACTGCAGCAAGGGATACAGGTAGAATTAAAAAAAAATGTGATAGGGTCTTATTTTCTTCAGTACTCATTAAGAAGGAGTTAAATAAAGGAAACATTCAGTTACATAGCTCCAACTTCAGCCCAAAATATGTAATCCTGACACAAGTTGAAGGATTTTATTTATTTGTAAAAATTATAGAGATGCCCTACTCAATCCATTTTGGGTTGCATACCATAAAAACAGCATTCAAAGCACCCAATAAAATCGCAAGGCCATATACTGTACTGTAAAAAATGAGAGAAACTATCAGGAACGAGACTTGATAATGAAAACTCATGTCAAAAGCCATTCTTCTTTTCAGGGGCTGGAGAAAGAGCCAGATATCTTTCTCTATCTTAATATTGGGTAATTCCCCTCCTTATCACTCTTCCTTCATTATCTATCTTCTGCGTATTATTTCTTTACCTGTCTGCATCACTCCTGTTAATCCTAGCTAGATGGCTCAGAGAACACTCTTCCTATCAGATCATTTAAGCCTGTACCTAGCAGTCTTTCTTTGTCAGTAACTATTGATTAACACTGAGCTGGTTATAACTATGTACTCGTGGCTATGTGCACTTGCCTGATACCATGATCCAATATCACAATTTAGATTTCTCTCTGCCATTGTCTCCAACTGGATGAATGATGCTACAGTTTCAGGCAATCACTTCTAGTTTTGTTGAGGACTTGCACCCTTTGCTGTAGCTCTTCCTATGTAAGCATAGGTAGTCCCTTAACTTACAATCATTCCTTCAGCCACCACTTGAAGTTACAACGGCACTGAAAAAAGTGACTTACCGTATTTGCCGGCGTATAAGACGACTGGGCGTATAAGACGACCCCCCAACATTTCCACTCAAAATATAGAGTTTGTTATATACTCGCCGTATAAGACTACCCCCTCTTCCACACACCTTCCACTTTTGCACTTTTTTTTTTTTGACGCACTTTTCTGCTTTGGACAATTTTGAAATGAGCTAATCCAATTTTGAACCAAGAATATGCAAATAGCTATGGAGTTTAGAAATGAGTTTTAAAAATATTTTTCATTGCTTACCATTAAGCGTAAAATATGTTGTAAATAAAATGAGAACACAGGAAACATTCTCTTCTCAATACAGCTGATCTCTCTCTCTCTCTCTCTCTCTCTCTCTCATACACACACACACCAAAAACCCGGACACTGAAAAGGCTGCCAAGGAACAGTATATTCAATGCCTTCTCTTTAATCAAGAAACAAGGAATTCCTTAGAATCTTTTTTTTTCCCCAAGTGGCCCTCTTTAAAAAAAAATATGGAGGTAACACTTTCATTCAAAAAGTCTTCCAGTATCTGGAGTCGCTCAGACATATTGAAGTGAGGCAGGAGAGTAAGTGAAATTTGAAATGATCCAGCTACCGTTTTCTTCCCCTCCCGCCCGAAGGCCATTATCTCCACGTCAAAATGAACGAGGGGAGGCAAAGAAGCCAAACATGCTAAAAAGGATCTCTTTATTTTCCTACACAAGGTCACACCTACTTTTCCGCATTCAAAGGACAACCTCTCCTCACCACCACCACCACACACACACACACCCCCAATACCCGCAAACAATGTTCTGGGCATTAATCACCATTGCTACATTAACCTGGTAAATTTATACCCTGCCTCCCCCAGTGTTGCTTTGACGGCAGGATTTCACACAGCGGGGCGCTCGCTCGCTCTCTTCTCCGCTCTCCCACCGTTCGCACATGTTGGAAGCACCGTAAAACCTGATAACCCACCCGGGGGCTCCCCCATCCTTAACCTACAGCCGCCCGCATGCAAAACCTGCGTGCAAAAAGAAAAAAAGAAAAAGAAAAGTACGCCGCACGTGAGGATCTTCGAATCCTCTCCTCCCCACACCGCTAAGGAAGGAAGAGGGGGAAAGGTTGCGCAGCGCGTGGCGAGTGACACCCGCCACACACACACACACACACACACACACACACCCCGCTCCCCCTCCCAGCCTCCCTCCCGGCTGCAACTCAAGCTCGAAGTGGGAGTCGGAGTCCTCCCGGCGTATAAGACGACCCCCCCACTTGGAGGCATGTTTTTCAGGGCAAAAAAGTCGTCTTATACGCCGGCAAATACGGTATATGACCAGTTCTCACACTTCCTCACAGTCACATGATCAACATTCAGGCACTCAGCAACCAGCATATAATTATGATGACTGCAGTGTCTTGAGGTAATGTGATTGCTATTTGTGACTTTCCCAGCCAGGATCGAATAACAAAGTTAACAGGGGAAAGCTGGATTTGCTTATTGACTCTGTGATTCACTTAACAGCAATGTGCTTAATAAGCATAGCAAAAAGTTTGTAAAAATCAGGCATTAATCACTTAACAACCACCTTGCTTAGTGACAGAAATTTTGGTTGCAATTGTCCCAAATATGCAGGCAGGGGTGAAATGCTTTTTCTGTCCAGAATGAGATAACATTTGGAAGTGACTCTGACAGACACTTCCGTAATCCACTGGAGGAGAAGAAGGTAAAAGCTCATTCAGAACTCCAAGATTCTGTTATTATAGTCAATCTCAATGAAAGTACTTTTAGCCTTTCTATTGAAATATTTTCCTGGTCTGGTCTATTAGTGGGGCTGAATCTATATTCTTGAACTTCCCATTCAAATGTGACCATTGAAATAAATAAATAAATTTCATTTATTCTGAAGTTCTTCATACTACTCCAGGAGGGACTTACTGCTAATCTAGTGTGTATGGGATGCAATCTGAATAGTGGTTAAATGCCCAATGTGTATCAAAACATGATTATTAGTAGTATCTGCTAAGTCTTGCTAAAGTTGATGTTAGTATAATACTGCATTCTGAAGATCGTGTTAAAAGCTAAAGATGTAAACTCTGTGGACCAGGTAGACAGTAGATTTTGATGGTTTATTTAAAAAGAAAATCACCTGTACTGCTTCATTCATGTCAGAGATGATTCCATGAGAAATATTTAGAATGTCTGTGGCCATCCCTAGGGTATTGTTCAGAGTGTCAATCTCTTCCTCCAATATTTCTTGTTGTTTCTGTAAGAAAAAAACAATAATTCCTTAAATATGTTGGTTGTCTGCTAATCACTAATGTATTATTTTGAGTAAATTAGATGTTTTGATCCACAGTAAAATTAACAAATGCTTTACAGAACATAACTGATATTTGGAAGTGGAGCAAATATAATGAACATTACTAAAACATTAATATTTATTAATAAGGGCTGTGCAGTGCTTTGGATACAATAAAGATCTAAAAGATGCTTTATAGGTGTACGGGAAACTGCAAATGTGGTACCAGTGTGCAAACCTTAGTCTGGTATGTGATCCCTGGAAAGGAGGCATCTGCTTTAAGATGTTGTAGACAAAAGCTTAGTACTGTATATGCTCCAAACATCTTTAGTTTACATTGTGCAGGTCTTTGAATAATATTCTAATGTTAGAACATTTTGATGGTGAATATTCTGAGATAAATATCTATAGAGGGAAGAACTTTCAATATGGGAGGAAGTTCCATCTTTCTTAGCGTTGACTAAGAATTCAAGATACTTTTCATTGTTATTACTGTCCCAACACTCTTCCTCCTAGCTCTCTGAAACAGCTTAAGTAATTCAAATGGTCTTTTCATTCTTACATGAGAAGAATGCATGTAGTACAAGACATACATGTAGACCTTCTTTAAAACTGGTTGGAACTTATCCATAAAGTATACAATCCTATTGTGATAAGCACATTCCCCAATTGTAGACAAGGAAATGAGCACATTTCCCTTTTGAAGCTCAGCCTATGTGATCACTGCTATTATTCATTTACTTATTTATTGATAACACTTTTACAAACTGCTCCTCTTATATTGAGCTCTGGATGGCTCCCAGCCATTTGGTAAGGTGAATTCACCCAGTATCTGATTTTATTTCTTTAGCCGTACATACACCATCAATCGTATAATAAACAAGGTTATCCTGACAGATTACGGCCAGTATTTTGCACTGTTAAAAATGTTAAAATACAACAATTTTGAAACAATAGATGGCATGGTACCTCATGCACTTGGAGTTTAGCAATGCTTTCATTATTTATAGTGGCTGTTTTTCTGATGTCATCAATAACTTGGTGCAAAGCCTCTTGCAAGTCTGTGAGTTTGGTGTGGTGTTCCCCAAGCTGATCCAATATGTCAGGAATCAAAGACCTGGTTTCATTATGTTTCTGTTCCCAACTTTCAGCTTTCCTTAATACTAAGAGAAGAGGCAAGTGATTAATGTGCTTACATTCCCTATTTCTCAGTCTCTGTAGTACACTTTACAGCTCTTGCTGGTGATGAACTTGTGTACTTCTACATGGCTAGTCTTCAATCCTCAGATTCAAACAGTGTTTTTAAATTCCTCCTGCTTCTTACTGCTGCTGACCTCAACACACAAAGAGCAGGGCATGAGCTAGTTCAACACACCTTCCAGCTCACTGCTAGGAGAGCTCCAAAAACAGCATCCTAATAGCTTACAGCTCTCCCCTCCTTCATGTTTTTAACCTCATGTTCTGCCTGCTTTTTAAATATGTGAGAGGGATCTATAAAGCTGCATTTTAAAAGAGAAGCAAAATGAGAGGATAGTTTGCTGAGGAACCAGGAGTGACAAGAGGTCCCTCCAGTGGAAATGCCTACCTGAAAGCTTTTAGCATTCATGTTGCAAAAGTATTGTGGCAGTACTCTGCAGTAAAAACAGAAGTCAGCTGCCTCTTCTCACCTACTGAAATGATGTGAAATCACACAAGGATGGAGCTGAGCTGCAGGTGATGCCAATGTCATAGGCAGGAGGGGTAGATTAGAAGGATAAAAAAGCTGAAGCACTCTTGTTGAAGAGTTCAGAAATGAGCAATGAAAGTGCTAGGGAGTTGTATTCCCAGCTCTTCAACATGTGATTTAGCACAAAAGTGCTGTGCTCTCTGAAGGAAAACTTATGTATCCCTGCCATAAATATTTTTTATTTTGCTTACTGAAGCATCTCAAAGTATCCAGATGCTGAAATTATCACATAAAATATTCAAGGTACAGAAATAATGCCATCATGCTTTTCTGCTGATTAGTGGCATCATAACTGGTATATACTGTATACCTTTCAATGGTTATCACCTTGAAAATCCTACATAATTGACTTCCGGTTTGAAGGGCTTTGGCGACAGACAGAAATCTGCGATCGTGCGTGGTTTCTGTCTGGGCTCGCTGCTGGAGCGCCCCGAGCCGGCTGGTTTCGGGGCTAAGCCACCACGTAGAGGTGATGAAGAGAGGGGAGACCGCCAGCAGGGTTGAGGAGAGCCACATCTCTCCTCCTCAGCTGGCCATTACTCCCTTTCCCGAAGGCGGTTGCAGCGGTGGTCAGAAATGGCCACCACAAAGGAGAACCTGACCGGAAAAGAATGTGCAGGAGGAAGATAAGAAGTGAAAGTTTTGGCTGACCGGGTTAAATTGTAAAAGCAACAACTAAGGTACCCTGGAATTTAAACTTACAAAAAATAACATCGCTCCCAAAGAAGAGTCGGAAGCAGCGAAGGAAAGTGAAAAGGGAAAGGTTGGGCTTTTTTTTCCTTCTCTCTCCTTCCCTATACTGACAACTAAGAGACTTAAATAAGAAATCGGAAAAATCCGCTTTGACATCAATAGGCAATTAAGCTGAAAATAAAACAAAATGCCAAAGGGATAATAAAGATTTCTGGACATTAAAATTTTTCTTTTTCATAAGCAGGAAGGGAGAGAAAAAGAATAAGGGCAGGATCTGGAAGAGGGAGGAGACTGCCTGGAATTAAAAAGAATCTACAATAAAACTTCAACAAGACTTCTAAAAGATACATTTTAACTGAAACTTTGCAACTAAATAGTAACCCCAGGAAGAGAAAGTGAAAAAAAGAGCAAAAAAGAAACAGCTTGCGTGTATTTGGATTATTTGGTGATCTTTGGATTCTTGGTTATTATATTTGAATGACTAAAATCAATCGGGTGGTTGTTTAAAAATTTATACAATGGCACCACTTCTGGATGAATTGAAAATGGAACTTAAAAAGTGCAAAAAAGATGCACAAGAAGGGAAGGGTTCTTTTGGCTTCATTTTTCAATTCTTAGAAATGGAGATTTGGAACTATGAGAAACAACAAGAAAAGACTGCAAAACAAGAAGACTGGGACAAAGAAGAAGCTATCTTTAATGAACAAGCAATTTTATGTGGGGAAGAAAAAGGAAAGTGGGGGAAAGAGAATGGAGAATTTAAGACTTAAAAAAACAACCAAAGAAAAGAAAAATAATTCAAAAAATAAGTATAATACTGGAAAGCAACAGAAAAGGGGAATACAGAAGACAGAAATAGAGGTAGAGAGACAAGGGGGTAAAAAGGGGAGAGAGAAGAAGAGAGGGAAGAAGAAAAGGAAAAGAAGTTACAAAGGACTGGAGCAAGATATAGAGAAACAGGACCTATTTAGAGATAATGGGTGAAAATCTAACTGAAAAAGGGATTCTGTAAAGGTACATAAGATTGTATTGTTATATTAGTAATAGAAACAAGTTTAGAAAATTGGAAACAACGTATGATTAAAATGAGGGATAAAATAGTGTAATTTAGTGAAATGTTTGTGAATAAAATAAGTGAAATAAAATAAATGAGAAAATTGAATTAGGAAGGAACGGGAACATTTTAATTAGTTAATGTTTTATAAAATATAAGTGATGGGGGGGGGAATTAACTATGGAGAGCTTATAATTGTTCCCATAGAAGTATGATATTTAATTGAAAAGTAATGTTAAAGATGTTAAGACTTTAATGAATATTAATATTAATGATAGAATTGAATTGGAATGGAATGTTGTTTTAATTATATTATACATTTATAATTTTTTCTTTTTTTAAGAATACAGTGTGTATTTTAAGAATGTACCAAGCAGAATCCAAATGGAAGTTATGTATTATATTGAATGTTACAACTTTAGGGAAAAGATATAAAGGCGTCATACTCCAATCAGTAACTACAGGAGAAATTTTGTTTAATGAGAAAAGATAATAGATAATTGAAACAGGACAGACAAAAAATATAAATACAATGATTTGAATTGAGATGAGATAATTAAAATAAAATTGAGAAAATTAAAAGAGGGGAGAAGCTATGCAGAAAATGTAAAATAGTAATAAGATATGGAATAGAATATAAAAATGAGCATGAACCTGGATTTGTGTCTGTACGAAGAAATGTAACCCGGTATTACGCTACTTTCAAAAAAGATGTTTTATTTGTATTTTTTTTTCTCTTTGTGAAAACTCAAATAAAATTTACAAAAAAAAAGAAAAAGAAAATCCTACATAATTTAGGGCCTGAGTATCTTAAGATCACCTTCTCTAAGTTGAATCTGCTCATCTGATGAGATAAATCAGAGAGGACTTGCTGAGGGCCCAAATCCATAGAAGAACTCACAGTCTTGAGCTGCTTCAGACTCTTCATCAGCAAGTTGCCTCTGGAAGGTGAAAGGTCTACGAAGTCTGATGTCCTTCAGCATCTCTTCTGCTGCTCTGACCTTCTGAGCAATATCTTCAGGCCTCAGATCATGCTCAATACCATAGTATTCTGCTTTGCTGCCAATTTCTGTACACAAAGCAGAGGCATATGATTCAAGATAATTTTTTGTTGTATATTTTATTGACAAAGCTGCTGCTGTCCTTTCTAGTTATGTTCCTTCAAATTAGTCACCATTTTTCTACAAATGTTTTTTTTTCTCTTTGCTTGAATCAGAGCACCACTTTGAATAGATCAGAGGTCCTATACTTTAGGTCAGAGGTCTCCAAACTTAGCAACTTTAAGACTTGTGGACTTCAACTCCCAGAGGAGTTAAGTCTTAAAGTTGCCAAGTTTGGGGACCCCTGCTTTAGGTCATGACTTGGCAAAAACGCACATGTTGGCTGGGGAATTTTGGCAGCTGAAGCATATACATCTTAAAGCTGCCAAGGTTGAAAAACATTGATCTAAAGGTCTTGGAAATTTTCTTCATTTGAACACCAAAAAATGCCAATATGTTGGTGGCTCTACTGACCAGAATCTACTGTATATAGGAACTCTTCAAAGCACATTGTGGTTATGGTCCTGCTGCTCTTAGCCTTTAGCCTTTGTTCCATTGTAGGAAGGAAGAGTCATTTCTAAGTTCCTAAATTATTGTGAAAATGTCCCAGTGTGGTTTATTTGGATAACTGACTTTTTTTAAACATAGAAATGTCCCAGGGATAAGGTAGTTCCCACATTTCAAATCAAATTGTTCAAGGATTTTAGAAAGTATCTGGATCTGTTTCTTTATCATTCTGTGTTAAAATTAGCTTGCATTCTCAAGATACACATAACATTGTTCTAAATATGTACTACAAAGAGTAGAAAAAGTTGAAAGCTGCTATACAAATCTGATCTCCTGGTACAGAAAAAAAAATTAACAAATTTTCTCTGTTGTTTTGGGGTGGGATTGGGAGGGTATGTATCAAATAATTTGATTAGTAAAAACTATAGCTGTGAAAACTGGATTTTAATTCTGGTTCTCTTCGTTTATATGTTAATTTTGGACAGTTTATAAATGTTCCTATAATTACCTTTCTCCATTGCCAATTCCACGGATGTACCCTATTATTTATATGAATCAGAAATGCTCCCAGTTTACCTTGTATGTTATCTACAATATTTCCAAGTTCTTGTGCAAGAATAGTAGCACGCTTAATGGTCTCCATAGTTTCCTTCTGCAGCTGCTGACCTTTGCCTGATTCTTGATTTCTCTATGGAAAATCAGATGTTTGGAGCATGAGTATCACATTTTATTTTACATTTAAATCTACAGTATGAAAAAGCCTGCATAATGTAACCAGATGTGGCTTCTGGCTGTTATGGACATGAATATCTATGTAATATGTAAATGATATTTGACAATGCTGCAAGAAAAGAAACCACTGTCTTTCAAAAAATGATAGGTATTTTTTTTGCAAAACAATCTTGTAGAAATCTTTCACACTTTGGTGTCATCCTATAATTTTTCTCCATTTTCTATTTGTTTACATTCAAACTGACTCCCATTTAAGGCCACAGAATTCGTTGCACTTACTGTACTTGAGAGTTGGTCCTGTACCATAGAGTTTTCTGCCAAATGTAGTTGTTATAACCATTGTTTTGCTTGTATCATGGAAATGGACAAATTGAACTCTTGAGGATGCCTATATAGAACTTGAAGTCTTTCCTGCAGTTGCTGTACCTGTTATTGATCACAGTTGCTGGAACATGCAAGAACTATAATGCAAATTCTAAAACAGATTTGCCAACATGAAATTTCCAATTGGAGCTTGATTTTAAGAGAATCATTTTAAAAATCTATTGTTCTGACAAAACTTTTGATCTAACCGTCAACATTTTCCAAACAAAAAATTATAATAATTTATAATTTATTAGAAGAGCATAGCCTAAATACTCCAAAATACAGCTTTACACATGTTTTTTAAAACAGCAATAGCAATAGCACTTAGACTTATATACTACTCCATAGTGCTGGATTGAGTCAACCTTGAGCCAGTCAGGATCGGATTCCTGGCTGTGAGCAGAGTTAGCCTTCAATACTGCATTCTAACCACTGTGCCACCACAGCTAACATAGAAATGAAAATAAAATATTTATTTTCTCACGCAGTAGTAATAATTAGCACTCTGATTGTTGGCAATGAAAGAAAGGCAAGTGTAGACAATATATGACATTACAACTTTACACTTTTCATATTTTTCAAAATTTTCCCCACTCTGTGTGTGGGGAACACACACACACACACACACACACACACACACACACACACACGGGGGTGGTGGTGGTGGAGAGAGATATATAGGATCTATTCAGGAAGGTTAAAAAGATGCCAATCATGCTTACTTGAAAAAAACCATGAACTTTGTTATTTAGCCTGTTTTTGCTTACTGATAGTATTACTGGTTCATGGAATTAGCAGTTTACTTCTTTAGCGTTATTAAGCTGATCCCACTCAAGGCAAGAGAAATATAAGATGGAATAGAACATAATAAGCAAACCTTTTCATCAAGGGCATCAATTTTCCTGATAAGTTCTGTCATTTCATTTGCAGCAGCATTAACCTGGGTTGTCTGAAGAGCAGAATGATTGTCCTTCTCGGAGAATTTTTCCTGAATGTAACAATGATACAAATTTGTTTCATTGTTAAAAATGATCTTCATTCTTTCAAGGTACTTACAGACCAATTACCTCAGGAATACATGTATTAATGAGCTTCATCACACGAATACAGTTGTGATGTTCTGAATGTCAGAAACAGAAGGTTGGAATGGATCTTAGGCATAAGGCAGAAGTTATGAGAATTACGTTATGATTAACTGATGCTTATTTAGTGCTTTATTGCATTTTAAACTGAAACAGGCTGCATAGTCTCTACATGGGGCTTCACATTCCTGTTCTGGTTCTGCTTTTCTTTTTCCACACCACAGACTAGTTTGCATATGTGTACATGCCATACCAATGAATAGTGCACAGGAGGGGGTCTACTGTTTGTCACAGGCACTGTACAAGCAATCTAAGCAAAACTTTTGCTAAGGTTCCATATATTGTTTGCTTCTTTTGCATTTTTCCCACTTTTTCTGTTGCATAGAAGAAACACACAGTCTGCATAATAATGCCATTACTCAAAATAGAAAAATAATTGGTGAAGATGATGGATGATGAGATATTCAAACTGACTTCTTTGAGAGAAGAACAACAATTATTATTGACTGCAAACATTTTATGGGCTTTTTGTAAAATAGTCAAAAATGAATTTATGACTTTGATGATAAGATAGGGTAGATTATAGAAAGAAGAGGGTCATGTTGTAACCTCAGAGTAAAGGGTAATGTATAATTGCATTTAATAATTGCTGTGAAGAAGTGTGAAAACCACTTCTTTGTATCTTTTTACATTTCTTTTCTATTTTTCTTTCCTTCCATCTTTCTGTTTCTTTTTTTCTTCTGATTTATAGTATATTATTTTGTATTAGTTTTTATCTTCCTTTGTAAATCTATACACATATGGGCACATACTCAGAGGCAGTATAAGCATAAAATCTATTCATGAATCTGTTTTGGCACCTATCTTTCTTGATATGTATGATAGATTGATGAAACTCTATTGTGTAGTTCTTCGCTCCTTAAGTCCAGAGTCTCTTATCTTTTCCTTAGAGATGATGGAAGACAATTCCTTCCCCTTTTAATAGATGTGGTTTTGATAAGTATCATGTGACCATAGGCAATCCAGATAATAATAGCTACCCCTTTTTCTTTTTACCATGTTCTATGGATATGAACATGGTCTAGCTGTTTAGAATGCAAAACCAGATTTATACTGAGAATATGATCTATCATCCTGGTCATGCCAATCTTTTAAAACATTTTAGGAAAGTAAATATAGATCCATTTAGAGGAAATTCCATTTCTTCCTTTTAATTCCTTCTATTTTCCTCCTCCATTTTATATTCCCCATTTTTTCTTATTTATTTGATTTACTTTGAGCATTGATTTCCCAGTTTATTTCAAGAAAGCAAGGATGTTTACAGTAACAATCAATATATTAGCACTCCAATTTACACTAGGTTTTATAGAAAGAAAATGGAACAGCAATCAAAGTACTTTAACTGGATAACACATACTAATATTTTCGGTTTTAATACCAACTTTCAGAAAGCTATTAATGAGAAAACGAGTTGGATCTTCTCTGCAGGAAAGTTTCAGAATTTGATGTGTCATCAAATTGCTCAACAGTACTTTCGGAATTGTTAAGACATAAAACGTTTCTCCAAAATGATATCACTATTGGGGAAAAGTTGTATAGATGAAAGTAATTCACTGGATATTCTGGTTTTAAAATGTATAGGGCTTTAAAGGTCAAATAGTAGCTAGAAATGGAGAGTATGATATAGCTGTTTCAAAGAAATGGGAGTTATATTTTTATGTACTGTCTCTGTTAGCCAATCTGCTGCAATATTTTCATTTGCTTTTCAAAGACCACTGTATACAGTATAGAGCAGAGCAACAATTAAGATATGGTGGAACAAATGCAGTGAGTCATATAGATGATTTTAAAAATCTTGTCCACATCCTACATTCTGCTATTCCGTGACATATATGTCACTCTGACCAGATGTTTTCCAGGTATGGGTCTATGTACTGTAGTTCAGCCTCAACTATATACTGGCATTGCTGGAAAAGGCTTAGAAGCTGGGCATCCAAGGTGAAAACCAAACTCAGAAAAATCTCCTTTGCTTTCAAGAGAAATGCCATTCTGTTCAATACAGGATGAAACTTCAAGTAATCATTAGAACAACTCTTGTAGCAAGATTGACTTTCAGTGGTTAGTCCACATTAATTCCATCACCATTTTGAAACAATATTCAGAATGATAATATCCCTCTCTGAAGAATAAAGCAAGGAGACCAAAGAGTAAGTGGTGACCCTAAATCCCAAACTTCAAATTACCTTCTACAATGTTTTCATGTAGTTGTTCAATAACAGTATAATATAGAACCCATGGGACAACTGCAGGCAAAGAACTGCTTCAAGAAATCACCACAGTTCATATTATCAGGTGAAAAATACATAGGGAGTATTTTTCTTTTAATGCCTTTTGTTTGTTTTAATTTTTTAAAAAAACTTAGTTGAAAAAAGATTTTCCTATCCCTTTGTTTTGACACCATCCATGACTTCTTCGATATCATCCATTGAGAGGCTTGCATCCTCAGTACCAAAAATGTTAATTCCCTCCTTGCATTAGCCACCAGCCAAGGTGTTAAATAAGCACTACAATATTAACATCATTTCTCAGACTACATCTCCAGGAAGGACAGAAGCACAGCCCCCTCCTGCCCAGCATCTTGCCTTCAGCTTCAATCCATTAACATAAAATAATATTACAAGCAATGACATTAAAAGTCATTGAGAGACCCAACAGAATCAAAAGAATGCACTCCTCTTGCTTAATTCCTGGAAAATGCCCTTCATCCAAGTTATTTTAAAATTGACCTCATTTTTTTTATTAATAAAAAGACTCCAACCACTGAGAGATCAGTTTTTCCATACAGCTTTCCAATAGCTGATTAGTGGCAAGACTTACTCTGCAATTTATTGTTATATCACCTGCCCCCACTTGTCAATTCTTTCAAAGGGAGGGAATCCATAGATTATCTCTTTCCCCCTCTCTCTACTTCACTTTTTAAGAAGAAATTGTTCAGTCATTTGCCTGAAATGGTGTAGGGTCTCCTGCCTCAGCAAGGGGTTGGACTAGAGAAGAGAAGAGAAAAGGGGGTCGAGCTATTTTCCAAAGCACCTGAAGACAAGACAAGGAATAATGGATGGAAACTGAACAAAGAGAGCTTCAACCTGGAAATAAGGAGAAATTTTCTGACAGTGACAGCAATCAACTAATGGAACGGCTTGCCTTTGGAAATTGTGGGTTCTTCATCACTGGAAGCTTTCAAGAGACTGGACTGTCAAAAATGATGTAGGGCCTGCTTGGGCGGGGGGGTTGGACTAAGTACAAAGTACCTTCCAACTCTGTTAATCTGTAACTGTATAGAATGGTCCCTTCCAATTTTGTTATTCTGTTAATACTTAACTGCACCCTATCAAAATAATTTAGGAAAAAAGATGGTGACCAACCAAAGGCTTACAGCTGAATGGGAATTAACAAACCTAAATCTCTTTTATTCTTGACTGATACTGTCCATTCACTATACTCATGTGCAGTGCATGTATGTCTCTCTCTCTCTCTCTCTCTCTCTCTTTCTCTCTCTCTCTCTCTCTCTCCCTCCCTCCCTCCCTCCCTCTCCCTCCCTCCTTCCCTCCCTCTCCCTCTCTCCTATCTCTCTCTCATGTCTTTGTATCTAAATTTCTACTTAAACAAACTAAACGAATATATGAACTGAGTATGCTACAGAGCTGTGTCCGAGATTGTGCAAGCTGAAATTGAAGTTGCCTTAGTGGTAATAAATCTGGAATGACCATGGTACGCATATCATGTATTATTTCATTGTGACGTTAATGACTTGTAAACTTGCTGAGCTTGAAATTTCTGCAGACTATAACTCGATCTATTTATAGAATCGTAGAATCATGGAATTGGAAGGGACCCCAAAGGTCATTTAATCTAATCCTCTGAGATGTGCAGGACAATATATTAAGCCATGCATAAAAGGTGACTATCCAGTCTCTTCTTAAAAACTGTAAGACAGAACTCACAACCACCATAGGAAAGATGCTGTATAGATATTATTCCAGGGAGTTTTTGTTATATTTAAATGACTCTTGGTAGTTGTAATTTATACTTGTTATTTGTAATCTTTGTTTCTGTGGCAATGGAAATTAGGTCTTGACCATCTTCCCTATGGTGCCCTTTTATGTATCTGACTGCTGATATCATGCATTGACATGTGTTCTATTTTTTCATGGCATATAATAGCTGAGGAAGGAGCAAATTTAAAATGGAACAGAATTATTATTTTCTTTGTAGTGGCCCAGGTGTCATATCTTCTTTTCTCCCACCATAAAAAGAAATTACCTAAATCTCCCCACTCCTGTTTATTTTAACTCTGAATGGAAGCTGTTTCCGGAAACGTTTTTTTTTTTTTTTATGAGATTGAAGAATGAAGAAATTAGGTACCTTGAGGATAAAAGTAGTGGTATTGAGGTCATACAAGTGTTTGTGAGCTGCAACTCCAGTGGAGATGCTTAGTAGAATTTCTTTGCTTTCCTCAATGGATTGGATTGCCAGGCTGATATCATCAGTCAAGTCCCAAATGCATTTGTCACAACCTAGCAATAAATGAAAATGCAGACAGTTGAAAAGGATTACACATTTTTGTTAGAACCCTGCAAAACTCAAGTGGCTTTTTTGCTTTATAAAATAATGTTCCTGCTTGTTTTCCCCATTTAGGAAAAGTCTGCCCAAAAGATGTACAGCACAAGAAATTCACAGCAAGAAATTCAGATTTTTGTTGTACAGTTATTACCAGTAATATTGAAATAATAAAACCTTTATATCAAAAATATATAATGTTGAACCCAAATCTTTTCACATTTCTAGATGGCTTTAAATTCACAGAAACACAATAATGTTAGTATACAGTGTTCTCAAAGTGAAACATCTACTGCCTTACCTAACAAGTACAGCATATAATTAGGAAACTATAGGAAATACTCTTTTGCAGGGCAGCAAGAGAAAAAAATAACACTTAAGTGGAAGAATTAATTAAAAGCAAAAGAAAGCAACTATTGCAGAATACAAAAAAGAGACGAAGTTCATATGAACAATTTTCCAAATGTAAATGGATTTTTTTTAATGGGATACTAGACAGATTTTATTTCTTAAACATTTATCTCTGTGAATACCAGATTTAATAAAAGAGATACACAGAACAAAAGACATTGGTCCCTGTTTTATAACCTATCTTTAGCTTAATTTCACAAAAGAAAGATCTGGGGCTGAAGTTGGCCAGAAATCAAGACTGAATTTGGATTTTTAAAAACTAGTTACTTTATTAATTTATGGTCAAAAGCCCAGAGTATCGTCCCCAACAGAATTCAGTTCTTTATTCCTAAATATATTGAGGGGTGACCATTGCCAAAGAAAATGGACAAATCAATAAAGGAGAATATTTGTAGCTCAGGGTTGAAATGATGGGCCCTTGGTGCTCTCTGAGCTTGCTTGTTTTCTTGCAGACATTTCATTACCTAAGTTAGGTAGCATCACCAGTGCTAGTGCTAAATGCCACCTCAAAATAATTGGATGCATTATATTTAGAAAGTACATTTGATCTAGGTTTTCAGGCATTTTGTCCAAAACTTGGCTACATGAACTGAACATTGAAGTAGGTAGAACAACTGTCTTAAATCTCGGTGGGATTAAGTTTCCTAGGCAGATTGGGCCTTTGGTGTAGAAGCCTTCATCCTGTTTCACTTCAGGTTGTCTCCTCTTTGAAATGCCTTTCCTAGGTTGAACTTTTCCTTCTCCCGATGAATCATTGTGGAAAGGGGCATTTTTTTTTAAAAAAGGACCAACATTCCTTCAGGGGTAATTTCTTGGGAGTCACATTTTGGAGTTGAAGCAAGGCATGGATGGCCAGAGCCTACGGTTAGACTTAAGCGTAGCACACAAAATTATCTGCTACAATGTCCTACCAGTCAATGACTACTTCAGTTTCAACCACAATACAAGAGCACACAACAGATACAAACTCAATGTAAACCGCTCCAAACTTGATTGCAAGAAAGTACGACTTCAGCAACAGAGTAGTCAATGCCTGTAATGCACTACCTGACTCTGTTGTTACATCCTCTAACCCTCACTCCTTTAACCTCAAACTAACCACTATTGACCTCACCCCTTCCCTAAGAGGTCTGTAAGGGGCGTGCATAAGTGCACCATCGTGCCTACTGTCCCTGTCCTATTGTCTCCATTTATTCGTACCTATTTCCTGTACTCTTACTCATGTTTATACTTTAACCTATTATCTTGTAAGCGATTGACAAATCAAATAAATAAATAAAAATAAATAAAATAAATAAAGTTTATGGGCAAACACTTATTTCCATTCTTCTCTCTCACTTCTTTTTTCTAACATATTCTTGCCTCTTGTTCAGGCATCTGGCTAAACAGAAGGATCTTTCAAAGACCTGAGAACTACAGTCTGCCTAGACTTACCTCAGGTAATTCCTATGCCAAACTTTAATGTAGAGGTAGTCCTCCAATTACAACAATTTGTTTAGTGACCATTTGAAGTTACAATGGCGCTGAAAAAAGTGACATGACCATTTTCCACTCTTATGACCCTTGCAGCATCCTCATTATCATGTGATCAAAATTTAGAGCCTTGGAAACTGACTCGTATTTATGATGATTGCAATGTCCCACCTTTTTGTGATCACCTTTTCAACCTTCTGACAAGCAAAGTCAATGGGAAAACCAGATTCATTTAACAAGATTACTAATTTAACAACTGCAATGATTCACTGGAGCAAAATTCACCTAATAACTGTCTTATTTAGCAACAGAAGTGTTAGGCTCAATTGTGGTCATACTTTAAGTAGAGGATTACCTGCAGCGTATTCTAATGTCTACCTCTTTTACATCTATCATTCCATAAACTAATGCTGGCCAAAAGGACCACAGAATATGTATAATTTGGAGATGTAAACATGGGGAAGAAGGACTGAGTGTAGCAACAGAATACATCCCTGCTCTTCTTACTGATATCTGGGCAATCTGTGACTGGAGCAGGCATTGGAGGTTCTCCGAGGCATTGTCCTGTTCGACGATCACAAGGTGCTCCTCCACAGTTGCATGCTGGGAAAAGACAGGTCAATTTATTACTGTGCAGTTGTTTAAAATGGTAAGCAAGCAAGTAAATAATTATTTCATACTGGGATATTGTGAACTCTCTGAGATAGTTTAAACAAGAAGTACTAGCTCTTTCTTTCTTTCTTTTTTGTAGAGGGTGTTCACTAATAGAATCTTGCAAGACTGGAAGTAATTCTCCCCTCTTTTCCTTTTACTCTCTATAAAACTAGGGAGGGTCTTTTCTGAATACTTCTCATGCCATCACCTCTTCTGTGAGTTGAGACATCTTTTACATGCCATTTATCTAGCTGATGGTTCTACAATATACACTATACTATACACCCATATCTTCATTTCTTAATTCCTCCTTACCTATTTCCTCAAACTCCCTTCACTTTATTTTCCTTTGCCTGGTGTTTCTTTCCTCAACTGTTTTTCTAGTCTTCAGCCATCTCAATTGCTGCCCACAGCTCCTGCTCTCATGAATTTTTGCTCTCTGTTGTTTGTGTCAATAGAGGTCAGTTGCCCAGGAATCAAGCATGTAGGCAGAAATGTGAAATACTGAAACAACTTTTGACTTTATATTTTAAAGAATTGGTTTTTCTTCCTCATATGAAAAATATTGATCCATCTAAAATACTGAATTGTACTTTGGCTATAGCCTGGGAATCCCTTGCCCTCTTTCCTCTAAAAAGGCACTGAATGGGCTTATAAGAAACACAATGTTTTATACCCTGACCACTTGCATTATGGAGGAACCCTCTGGAGCTTTCTCATTCAGCTGTAGCAGCATACCTACCCTAAGTTCAGACACAATAGCTTCTTAAAGATGTCAAGATTCTTTATGCTATTCATTTCATACAATTTTATAGGGGAGAAGGTGCTTAAAATGGTGAATAAAAACAGATGTTACATAATAAATTAAATAAGTTGTAATATAATACTTATGGTTCTGGAATATTTATTGATATTCTTGCATTAGAGAGACCGACAGGTGGAAAGCCATTCTATATCCTTAGTCTGAATTCAATTAATAATTTGGCATTAGAAGCAAAGCTACATCTAGGATTTTATATTATGAGGCCAAGATATGCTTTCCCTTTGCTCAAATGATATAACCCAAAGCCAATAGGCTTAGAAAAATAGCTGACTGATAGTTGATCATAATAAAAAAAGTTTGGTCAAGCATTAATCACAATATAGCATAGTTTAAATTTTATTTTAGCGTACAAATTCAGTATATTCTATTACTGATACTTTCCCTCTGGAAATTTTTTGGGGAGGGAGGAGGCATTGTAGTCAGTGTTAACTTCTGGTCAACTGCCTGGACTAGATCTTGCAGTTTTCTCGACAAAATATATTTGGAAGTGGTTTGTCACTGTCTCCTTCTTAGGGCTGGGAGAAGGTGAGGCCACTCAGTTGGCGTTGTGCCTCAGGTGGGACTAAAACTCAGGGTCTCTGAGTTTCTAGCCTGGTGCCTTAACCACCACACCAAACTGGCCCTTCATCCCTTTGTATATGTTAATAAAGTTTTAGTTATTTGGTTGATTGTATTTGATTGGCTTTACTTGCTTGATCAAAGAGGTTCATTGTATGTACATCCTTTTTATATGTCTATATAGAATGTGACTGTGTAGAGCTCTCAGTGAATTTAAGGCAACATTTATGTACTACCTTACAAACTATGTTATTTTAAGACACAAGGAATTTGGCATTGTGACATTTGATAATAGTTGTTTTTCTATAAAGCAAGAAATAAACATATAGGTTTGGGGAAAATGTATGCAATAAATCAGAAAATAATTCCAGAAACAATTATTGCAATTGAACAATAAATGTGTTTTTTTTTTAAATCATGACCTAACTAATTTATATGTGAAACATGTAAGTTTGCAGCATAACAGCTCTGAGGAAATTACTGACATATAAAAAGTAACACTCTTGCAATTTTGAATGTCTATGCTCTTACATTTAGGAAATAAGGCTATTTTGGTAATGGCTCATTTGCATAATCATGTTAATAGAATATCTGTGATTTCCCATTAGATGCTTGCTAATTTACAATTTCTATGCTCTGACCCTGATAAAAAAAAATAACGCTGATAAAAAATTGCATTACTTTTCATGCCGTTCTTTTAATCTCTGAATTCTAAAAATAAAACTGGCTATATTTCTCTATAATGTTGAAGTGTTCAAAATACTACAGATGAGAAATGAATTTATCTAACACCTGTAGAGAAAGAGGACAAAATTCCCAAATGTATATATGTATTATCTCAATCAACAGACTGTTATCATGAATATAATATAAAGGTCCTTTTTAAACCTTATACTGCTTGAAAGGCTAAATTATTTATTACTTTCAAGAAAAAAAAAGCAGAATAATTTGTGCAATTTTTAAATGTTGGGCTTCTAAAGGATTCATTTTTGGAATACATTAATTTTTTTGGCACTTTTGTCTTATTATGCTTCTAAAATTAGCTTAGTCCCTAGGATGGGTTGGTTTTACTGTGATATAAATGTATACATTGCATGATTAACGCACTACTGCAAAGCAGACAGATATCCTTTATGGATAATAATATCAGTATATTAATTACAGGCCAATCTCCTTATGCTGCGTCACCTGTAAAGTCATGGAATCAATTATTAACCAATCCATCATCCTCCACTTAGAGACAAATAACCTACTCTCCAATAAACAATTTGGTTTCAGAAAAAAACTATCCTGTAATCTGCAACTCTTACACTGCAAAAACATATGGACGACACAACTCGACCAGGGCAAAGCAATAGACGCAATCTACATAGACTTCTGTAAAGCCTTTGATTCAGTGGTACACGACAAACTACTCCTAAAAATAAAATCCTATGGTATCTCTGGACAACTGAATAACTGGATAGAAGCATTCCTGTCAAACAGACAACAAATGGTCAAAATTGGGAGCGTCCTATCAAATCCAGTACCTGTCAATAGTGGTGTCCCCCAAGGCAGTGTTCTAGGACCAACTCTCTTCATACTCTACATAAATGACCTCTGTGATCATATTAAGAACAATTGCGTTCTCTTCGCTGATGATGTAAAGCTGTTCAATACCACAGACAATACTGCTACCCTACAAAAAGATCTTGACTATGTATCAGAATGGTCAAACAAATGGCAACTTCAAATCTCAACAAATAAATGCTCTGTCTTACATATTGGCAAAAAAAATCAGAAAATAAAATACAAGCTGAATAGTCAAGACCTTGTTGATGACCCAAGCTCTGTAAAGGACCTTGGAATACTCACCTCTAATGATCTAAGTGCTAGAGCCCACTGCAACTACATAGCCAAAAAGGCATTAAGAGTTGTTAACCTAATCCTACGTAGCTTTTTCTCTGGTAATATCACACTACTAACCAGAGCATACAAAACATTTGCTAGACCAATACTCGAATACAGTTCATCAGTCTGGAACCCACATTAGGTATCTGATATTAGCACAATTGAGAAAGTCCAGAAATATTTCACAAGAAGAGTTCTCCACTCCTCTACTCGTTGTAGAATACCTTATGCCACCAGACTTGAAATTCTAGAACTAGAAAACCTTGAATTACGCCGTCTTCGGTCTGACTTAAGCATGGTATATAAAATCATACATTGCAATGTCCTACCTGTCAATGAATACTTCAGCTTCAACCATAACAACACAAGAGCACACAATAGATACAAACTCAAAGTTAACCGCACCAAACTTGATTGCAGGAAATACGACTTCAGCAATAGAGTGGTCAATGTCTGGAATACTCTACCCGACCCTGTAGTTTCTTCCCCAAACCCCAAAAACTTTAACCTTAGACTGTCTACTATTGACCTCACCCCTTTCCTAAGAGGTCTGTAGGGGGCGTGCATAAGCGCACCAACGTGCCTACCGTCCCTGTCCTATTGTTTCCCTTATTCTTTTATTTTTCTTATATGTACCCATTTCATGTATTCACAACTATGTATACACTTATACTTATTATCGTGTAAACAATTGGCAAATCAAATAAATAAAATAAATAAATAAATAAATAAAATAATCTGCCTTGCTGTAAAGGCACAAAGAAGCCAGATTCAGAGCAATAGGAATTATATATCCAGTTATAAGCTATATGATATTTAAATGAAAGTTCTGAGCTTAGTGGCACTGTTCCTTAGCAATGTTCCTCCAATACTAGAGCTTTTTAAGAAGAGATTGGACAAGCATTTGTCTGAAATGGTTTAGGGCCGTGATGGCGAACCTATGGCATGCATGCCACAGGTGGCACGCAGAGTCGTTTGTGCTGGCACGTGAGCTGCAGGCAGACTTACCTCAATGCGCATGCGCGCGCCTCACAGTTGATTTTTGGCCGGTTTGAGGCCTTTTTTGGACTCCCAGAGGCTTGAGGAAGGCTTCTGCAGGATTTTCAGGATGAAAAGTAGGCCCATTTTGTCACTTCCTGTTTTTCCAGAAATACCAGGGCCTAGTTTTTGGCCTATAAAGCTTCAGAAGCCTGCAGAAACTTTCCTCAAGCCTCTGGGAGGGCGAAAAAGGCCTCAAACCAGCCAAAAATCAGCTGTGAGGAGCAGTTCACGTAAGGGGGCGGCAGGGGTGGGTGGGGATTGCATGCACATGCTTAGGGGGTGTGGGGAGGCACGCATTGCCTTCTGGGTGCTGATACATGAGCGTGACCATGCAAATGCACACACAATTTTTGGCACAGGAGCTCAAAAAGGTTAGCTACCACTGGTTTAGGGTTTCCTGCTTGAGCAAGAGGTTGGACTAGAAGATCTCCAAGGTCCCTTCCAGCTGTTATACTGTTTTTGTTTTTTAATGTTTGTATTTCCAATGTTATTTTATGTATCCATAAAATCTGTTCTTCTTTGCTATAAACTCACCAAACTATTTCTGAGGGAGATGGGTGGTTTAGAAATATGCAATATAAATAGTCAAGAGAGGATCAATTTTTCATGCAAATTCATGGAACATATCAAATATTTTACAAAATGTAGTACCTGTGCATTTTTTAGCTATTCTAGCATCCCCATAATAACCAGGAGCACAGAGCTCACAATTGAACCCTGTGGTACCACGCATGCAGTTGCGACACTGGCCTGTCACTTCATCACAATCCTCAACGATCAAGTTAGGATCCGAATTGCCGCTGCAGTCACATTTTTTGCAAGTACTGCCAATCACCAAAGGGTTTCCATAATAACCTGGAGCACATCTGGAGTGAAAATACAAACCCAGAAATTATTCATACGCATGTCTTTCAGATCTTTTGGCCTGGTGGCATTCTGGGGGGGGGGGGAGGGGGGGATAAATCTACAACAAGGTAGAAATTTAGAGCACTTCCCTTCACCCAGAAATCTGATCTATTGCTCTGACCTCCAGAGTTCCAAGATTGAAATTTGCATATTGCTTCCTTACACTTATCTAACACCAATATTTTTCATGAAATATTTCCAGCTTCTTTGAAATAGCAGATTGGTGAGGAAAATAAATTATTAAAAAAATCATGCCAAAAGGTCATGCTGTAATATAATTTTTCACATTTCATCCACTTGATATATTCTTCAATTTTTTGACATAAGTGTTCAAGAGATTTGAAAAGAGTGTTAACTTGTTCTGATCCTGGACAAATTTTTGCATTCAGTCACTCCATGGGACCTACCCAAACGAAAGAGAGCCTGCTCATAGAGTCATCAGGAATGCAAAAGTGGAGCTACAAATGATACATTTCTTTCCCCCGCCCCTAGCAATTGCTGCCCTGGAAATGCCTGAAACTGCTTTGATTTCTAATAGATTTAATACACTTCAACACTTCCATTATAGAGTGAAAATGGCCCCCAAATCCCACCACTCTCATAGCCTCATGCCATCAGCAGCCTGCTCCCCATGGCCTTAACTTTTTTTTAAAAAAATGTTAATGTAAGTGCAGCTCCCAGATAAAAATATCTGTTTTATGCAAGCTTTTTTTGGTCTTTATAGGTTGTTCCTCTCATTCATTTGAATTTCCATTCCCATTCATTTGATTTATATAACCTATCCCATGCTTCTCTTCCTTTCCTTTCTTCAGTACAGATGGATATATGATGGAGACTATTTATGCACCCAAAGTGTGATGGGTACTTTGTACACTTGTGAGTTGCATATGAATGTGAATTCATTCTTACACATTTCTTAATGCTCATATGTATGTAAGAGCACTTCTTTAATAAGGGTACTGAATTCATTGAGGATCATTTCAATAACTTCAGTCGGAGCAAGGAATAGAGAAGTAAAGCAACTGCATTGCTAAATTGAGATTTATCATTCTTAAAACATGTCCATACCTTTCGCAGTTTGACCCTGCATACTGTTCTTTGCATTTACAGCGCACCACTCCATTTTTTCTGTAACAGGAAACTCCAAAGCTAAAAGTATATTAAAAAGTCATTATTAGATATGATAATTCACATACTCATGAATGTAACCTGTACAATACAGAATCTCAATGGGTTTACATTGAAAACCTTTGTTCATTTATTGCCAAATGTGGGAATACCTCATCCTGATCTAAGGTTTAGCTACTCCTAGAAGATAAAATAGAGATCATAAGCAATGAACTCACTAGCCAGTTTTGAGTGACTTCAAAGTGGGAATCTTAGTTTAGAAATAATATAATTAGTAAATGAAGTAGCTGTTATTTATGCTGGTTGTTGATAGCAGAGGAACAAAGAGAAATCATATTTATTTCCAACTGGTTTTAGTATGAAAACATATGTTCAAGCTCTGTCATTTCCTTCATTTCAGTCCTTGGTTGCTTTGAAGGAGAATTATTACTACCAAAAATGCCAAGTGGTGTATAACTTATGTACATGAACCTCTTAGAACCCTTGCAACATAATTCATTCAGATTCCATTGAAGTTAATTAGATTCAAACCATAGGCAATTGCCTGCTATGCAGCCTTTGTAAGACTATTTAAAAAAAAGAAAGCAAGATTAACTTAACGTACAATCTGAAAATTTTATTTTAATTGAACTCTATTTGAGACAAGTTCTTTTATTACAGAAAAGATAAAGGAATGCAAGCTTCCAGGCTGTAAGAACTCTTCAGTGGGCAAATAAAAATGTTGAAAAGGAAAGCAGGAGGGAGCAACTATAGCTGGGAAATAACACTTTTTTCTGTTCCTTTTTTCCCCAAGAAAGAAAGGAAAAGAGAGCAGAGATTAATTTTTGCAGCTGTATCAGTCCTTGCTGGAGCTGCTGTCTTGGAATGCACAAATATTGGATCTCTGAAATTATGACTGTGTTAGAGAAATCCAGAGAAAGTCAAATGAAAGGCAACATCCAATTTTTCAACAATACACAAGAATAAATGAACTCTGTGTGACTTTAGCATTCTTTTTATTTTAGGTAGGGAACTAATGCATCACATCAATTATATCCGAATACTATAAGCTAGCTTTCCCCAATCTTGAAAATTCTCAATATGTTCAGAATTCCAAAATTCTTTACCATTATAATGAAGATTAAGAAACTAGTTGGGAAACTTTATGATAAGCATTATTACAATACTATCTTTTTTTAATTTTCCAGTTTGGATATTCTTTGCACACTACCTTGATAATATAATAATGTACTTTAATACACATTATTTTACATATTTTATTTCTTAGTGCACCCCCTCCAAATATTCAGCTTTTGAAAGTTGTCCTATTTTAACTTACAAATTCAGACACAGAAGAACTATTCAGTAACTATGCTGTTTAGTAACCAAAAGATACAGTATATTTGCTACAGATGGTGTTCTTTCATTAGGGAATCGCATGCTTTGCTTGCTCAATAATATTTGGCAATTCTATCTCCTCCTGGGGAATTTTGGTGGGATTCCAAAACCCAAATCACAAGGAAGTCTCTTATATTTATTTCCTGTGGCATAAATTTTATGGGCCAAAATTCTTTTTGTCAGACTCACTGAGTAGATAATGCTGGTTACAGAAATAATATAGATATATTTATCCCTCAGAGCAAGGTTTTATTAATCTAGCTTCTTCCCAGGTTACCTAGCTATCCAACATATAGAACAGAAGTCTCCAAACTTGGTAGCATAGCTGGCTGGAGAATTCTGGGAGCTGAAGTCCACAAGTCTTAAAGTTGCCAAGTTTGGGGACTCCTGATATAGAACATGGAGGCTGTAACAGGTGGGTGGTAAATCTCAAAAAACTCCCTTCACATCAGGTGGCCTGAAATGAGTTCTTCTAACACCAGCAGGATTGGCTGTATGGAGCTCATAGCTTCCACAGAATTCTGATGGGATTGTTCTGAGTACCTAATCAAATGCAAATAAAGAATGCTGTATTATTTTTTGTAGGAATACAAAAAACTGATGCAAAGATTCTGGCTTCTATTATATTTCATCTGTATGTCTAAGCCACTATTCTCTAGAGCTACCATAAGTGCATTTATTTCCCTTGTTTGGAGATGTTTATAGTGACAGGGAGACTTGTTTCAGATTGTCATGAAAAATAGTACTTGCACGCTGCCTTCTGTTAACATTTTAATGACATCATTTCAACCTTGTTTCATCCCTGGAGTATTTTTCTCCTCAACCTATTTATACAGAGTTAATGCCTTATATATTGAAAAGAACTCCAGTTCTGGATACAATAATAAGCTAGAATTATTTCTGTATATTTTGTAAGAAAGTTTGAAAAATTACTAGAGAAATAAATAATAATAATAATAATAATAATAATAATAATAATAATAATAATAAT